AAACAAGCCACAGGATTGAGGAAAACCCCCATCTCCCAATTCATTTCATTTGCCTTAGAGGTGAGCATTTTTATCCAAAAGCAGCCATTCCCATTCTTGAGTTTATGAAATCAGTGCATGGAGACGTGGATTCCATCAGAGCATGTGGTGATGGAGGGGGCTGAGATGATATTAATCCACAAACATCCAAGCCTTGAATTTGAGGCATATACAAAACTAGACAGCCAAACACAAGGTCAAGGATGGAGTGTGTATCAAGGAGACAGATTCCAGCTGACCTGCAGGATCGACCCCTCTCTACATGGCCTATCCTTAAGGCACTACAGGACAGCACAGACGGCAGGCAATCACTTCCAGGTGAGGAAAAACCCTGATCTGGTATGTAACCCTAATATTCAGGGCCTTCGGCTAAGACCACACTGCCTTCTGGGTAGGATATCTCTTCTTGCCATGGTGCTCGGTGGCCATGCCACAGGCCCAGACCCCAGGAACCATGCAACTTCTCCCCTTCAAGGTGGGTTTCCTGGGAGGAGGGGGTCGGCTTGGCAACATGGCCCACAGACACTGCTAGGCCTGATAGTACCCACTCCATTCAGAGGAGTGCTTAGCCTGTAGAAGGAATCATTTGTTCCCCAACCCCCGAAAGAGTAACCTGGTTGCCTGATTCTTCCTAGCCAGTTCTCCCAGCTGGCCGCTCTGGGCTCTTTCCCAGCATGCTCACAGTGGTCGGGAGGGTGGTGCCGCATGCTGGGGAGGCGGCCAGGCCTTGCTGTGGCTCCCCGGCGCCACTCCCACAGCTGGGTAGATGCAGGAGGAGCTGGCACATGCCCTACAAGGAGGATACTGGGAACCACAACAGGCACCCAGCTCTGCTGGGCCCCTTGGAGGCTCCATCCTCCCTTTGTGCCAGGGCAACCTTCTCCTACACTGTAAGCAATCCCCACACAATCCCCACACCGGAGAGTAAATCTGTGATTCATTCAAGGGGGGAGTGCTCTCTTCAAGGGCAACTCTTCCATCTCAAACCTATTTCCCATTCAGAGAATGACACCCCATCACCTGCCCTCCTAAAACTCGAATCCCTCATTTGTCATTAACTTCCGCTGATACTCCTGTGAATCTCTTTCACTCTCCCCCCGCCAGCTGTTCAACACAAGCCACCAATGGGAGTGATTCAAGCCCCAATAATGCCCAATTATCCAGCATCCCACCTCTGGTCCCTCCCTAAACCACCCTACCTGACCTCAAGGTCAAAGAGTTCTCCTTTAGGACTTTAATCCGGATTTTTCACTCTATCCCACTCCTCCCGTAACTACCTAGGTAACCCAACAGATCCTTCAGATCACATTTTAAATGTCACTTTCCCATAGAGCCATGCAGGCCTGGTTGTACTTTCCCAGCCCTATGTTCCCTCATGGCATCTGGCATGGAGCCTCCAGTGCAGGTGAGGCCGCAAGGGTCTCCAGGTGCTCACAGCACAAGCCTAGGCCCAGGCAACCCCTGGCCAAGAAAGGAAAGCACAACCCATGTCCAACAAGCATCAAACCACAGCCCAAGTTGGGCCAAGGGAGAATGCTCAAGGTAGCTGTCTCTGATCAGCTCTGAGTCAGCCCCTCTTAACTCTCCAGAAAACAGCAACAGCACGGTTCTGCCCTGCCTCCTGAGCAGATACGCAAATGTCAGCCACATCACAGCAGAGACCCCTTGAAGTCCTGCCCGCCATGCAGAGCTGCTGCAGCATCTTCCGCTGGCTCTTTCAGCATTACAAGCAGGAACGGCCCAAAAAGTCCAGGGCCTGGTCTGGCAGCCTTTTGTTCCTGGGACGCAAGTTTGCTTTCTTATCCCACTTTTCCATGCTCATTACACAACAAAACACACAAGACCAAGAACCACCAGAAATCCACCCAGAGGTAAAACTCCACATGTACTTCAAAAGGAAACCCCCAAGAAAAAACTGTAGGAACTTTTGAAGCCATTTGCTATTTTGTAAGATATATACTCTACCAAAATACCACCGTTTGGGGTACAGAATCCTTTCTTTTTTTTTTTTCCTGTTCACAAAGGAAGTTAAATGAAAGTCTTTGTGCTGCCAAGGCCCCCAGGGTGGTACCCAGGGAGCAGTTCCTAACCCCCCAGCTTACCACCGGCTGGAGGCCCAGACTGACTCACATGCTAACTGGAATTCATTTTCTAAGGGGAGCCAAGAACCATTTAAAAAAAATTTTTTTAATGCTGCACAGAGGAAAAAACGATCTAGTTATATGACCACAAAATGGGGTCGGGAGTGGGGGTGACCTCGGAACTTGTGGCCAATGTCTTCGGGACTTTAAAGTTTGTAGAAAATGGGAAAAGAGGGAGGCGAGGCTGGCAGAATTCTGGAGTAAATTCCCATTTCGTGGCCTGCCAATCAAGAGCTCATGCGGGGGTGGGGGGCACGACTTCCTAACACTCCCACCCCCAGCACAACTGAAGAGCCCCTGGGTTATAAGAGCTAGGATGCCATCCCAGCTATAGGGGCTAAAATTTGTGGCATTTGTTTCTTAATTTAAATATGATTGGAGAACATGAACTCAACTGGTGAAGAACATTTATTCTACACATCAATTTTTTATAACGTGGTAACCCACATACCACATGAAAAAATCCAATCACATTAAAATACCCTGACAAAATGCTTTAAATTAAGATTCTGCCCCAGATGGATACTGGAGAAAGTTACTCTCCTAGCAGTCCAATGATTACTCACAGAGAACACTTCTCTATTTTCAGAGTGAAACATTAGGATACTTATGAAACAGCTTGGCCCCAAAGTTACAATAAATCCAAGCTTCAGAGAAATTAGGAAGCAGTCCTTAGGCAATTATTTTGAAACATGTCTGGTGAAAGAAACACTGTGATGTGACAACCTTGTCATTTCACAGAACAAGGAAAAAACAAAGTGTGAGGAAAAGACTCTAGGGAGAAGCCAGCCTCGGTGGGCCATCCCACGTGAACATGAACCAGACTCTGTAGCCAAGGCTGATCTGCTCCAAAACCAAAAGGGCATACTAGCCAACACTCAGAGGGTTTCCTTTACAGATACAGGAGTCTGAGACAACGGCTCGCATTGGGCGGCACAGAGTCCCACGTCCATGCACAGGAGATGATCAGCGGTACATGGATCTTCAATCTGAAAAACGACAGGGATCAGGTGCAGAGGTCTGCCAGCCCCAGCCTTTCTTCTACCCTACTTCTCCAGCTCCCTGTAATTCCCTCTCCCAACACCTGTCTCCTCCTCAATGCGCTGTCCAGCGAAGACCACAAAGATGTTCAAATGAAGGCCAGCTGCCTCTTCTACCCAGTCTCCACTGAGGTGGGACCTATGTCATCTCCTCACTGTTTAAGGCTCAGGCTGTAGCAAGTATTCTTGCAGAACTGCAAGGGTCCTGGAAACAGGGGGCAGGCACTATACAACCAGCAGGGGGGCAGGTCCACTCTGAACCCACTGTAGGATATGGGTTTTCTTTCTGTGCTCAAGCAGAGGTTTCTAAAAAGTTTAGAAGATCCTTTCCTAGTAGCTATACAAATGTGGGGAAGTCCTATCAAGCATTTTCCAAAGCAGACAAATGAACTTCAAAGCCTACAGGGCAGGTGTAGCGGCAAACCACTGCCAGTAATGCCTGCACCCTTATCAGAGTGCTGGTTCCCATCGCGATTGCTCTACTTCCGATCCAACTTCCTGCATCTACCTCCTAGGAGGCAGCAGGCGATGATGACATTGCCCACCTACATGGGAAACCTGGATGGAGTTTCAAACTCCTGGGCTGTGACCTGCCCAGCTCTGCCTATTTGGGGAATGAACCATGAGATGCCAATATTTGCTTTCAAGTAGAGGAAAATAAATAAACATCAACAAAATGTTTTCCAAAGCCTGTGCTCACAGTGGGAAAGTCAGGAAGCTTAAGTGAACCAGTCAGGCAGTGCCATTTTGTCCTCTAGCACTCTAAACTGTCATATCTGTTGGGTTATTAAGTCTTTGTATGTGATTAAGAACTTAAAAAAAAACATTATTTTTACTGAAAAGGCAGATACAGAGAGAAGGAGAGACAGAAAGACCTTACATCTACCGGCTCACTTCCCAAATGACCACAACAGCCAGAACTGAGTTGATCTGAAGCTAGGAGCCAGGAGCCTTTGCCAGGTCTCCCACAAAGGTGCACGGTCCCAAGGCTGTGGGTCATCTTCTATTGCTTTCCCAGGCCACCAACAGGGAGCAGGATGGGAAGGAGAGCAGCCAGGACACAAACCTGTGTCCATAAGGGATCACGGCACTTGAAAGAGGAAGGATTAACCAGTGGAGCCATTGTACCAGGCCAAACTTTCTTTTATTCAATATGGCATTCACTTTCCTAAGAGAAGCCTGCATGAGAAGCCCAATGCAGCCACTGCCTTACACTCCCCATTGGCAGCCAGTTCCCATCCCAGAGCCCACTATGGAGGCTTCCTTCCACCTCCAAGATCTGTAGCCACTCCTTGTTCCAGCCGCTAACACAGCACATGGCACTGGGCAGCGTCCTTTCGACGTCTTTGGGCCTCCATTTCCTTTTCTGAGAACATGTTGGGGGTTGGGGCCTAACGGTTCCGAAGAGTCAAGCCTAAGTTATATAAGAGTCTGCTACAGTGGGGCTGGAGGCAGGGAGAAGCTTCTAGCAAAGGCCAGACTTCTTTCTTTCCACACAGCCTTCTTGCTACATGTCTCATTTCTACTATGAGAGAATGAGGCACTTATCATGGATGACAATTCAAGATGTGCTTTCACGGAAATAATTTTGTGAATGTACACCCATATACAGCAGAGGCCTAAACTCATTAAATTATACTCCATTACAGCAAGCAACAAAATGAGGGAACAGTTAGGCTGAAATTTGACAGATTGCATTTTAGATTCTTCTACTAAGGAAAATTAATTTGCAATTTTTACAAATTTTAAGTAACACAGAAGCAAAAAAAATATTAATGGATAACATTTTATGATACTTAAATTAAAAATACATGAATTTGTTTCCTGTTTTGCATAATTCTACCTGTCATGAATTCATTATAAAAATACGCCTCCCATTAATAATTTCAAAAGTATGAAGTCCAGCTCATGATACAAATACATGCAAGAGAATCTTCTAACAACATGGGGCTAACTTCTCAAGAGGTTAATTTATAAATTCTGCTTTAAGAGCCTACAAAATCCCAAGAAAGTACATTAAAAATATATGCAGACACACATTTTATGCTGTATTCTCTTAGTAATGAAAACAAATGTTCTTTATGTCAACACACTTTCAAAAACACAGACATACACAGTCAACTTAATTTCAGCCCATGTTCATTTCTACTCTTGGATTACAATCAGCCAGCCCAAATCAAGTTTTCCAACACTGGTGTAGAATGTAACTTTTCAGCAGATACAGGAGGGTGCCATGGATCAGGGGATGGGGACTCCTCAAGACCAGGGGGCTTCTCAGATCTCTAGCTCATCTCCCCTACCCACGCTTGTCGATGTTGCCTGTGACAACATTTTTAGTCCGTTCCAAAGCACACCGATTGTGTCCCACTAACTGGAGCCCGCAGCGCTAGATTCTAAAGCAACACCATGGACAAAAGGCTAGGAGGAAAGTTCATAAAATTCCCAGGTGGTCTACAATTGCCAAGATCCAAAAACAGAAAACGAGTCTCTTTAAGATATATATACCACATTCACAAGGATTCCAAAAACAACTATTAAAGGAAAAGAAAACTAACAGACAAGGCTTGAAGTCTTCCAAGGAGTGGCTAATCCACTATCCCATTCCTCCCAGCCCAGGCAGCCAGGTCTCAGGGAGGTTACTTACAACGATGTGAGCAGGAGACGGCGAGCGGGCGTCCTTGAGGGCCTGTCTGCTCTGCAGGCCCCCTGCCTGGACATCAAGCAATGGCCATTTCATCTGCAGGTACTGGAGGGAGGAAACAAAAAGAGAATGGAACACGATGAATTCAGACCAGAAACACAAAACAGCTTGCCCAACAAACAACAGGTGCACAGGTCAGAAGCTGAGAAACTCAGAGGCATGCAGGTAATAACAAAAGGAAAACCATGCGATTTCAATGAGCTCTTCCCTTAGGATTCAAGTTCCATAGGCCCACACAAGAGCACTTGAAAACTGTGTGGAAAATGGAAGTAAAAACAAGCTTATTTTAGTGCAAAAAAACTTTTGAAATCCATGCTCATTGGGGGTGTCCAAAAAGTTCAAGAGAAATGAGTATTATGAAAAAAAACACAAAACCAGATTTCAAAACTTCCTTGCACCAAAACTAGCTTTCCAGAACATTTTTCCACAACCTTCTGAAGTACCCTTGTATGATAGAATAGACACATCACTAGCAACTATAGTTCTGTTCTTGCATTCAAACTACAGGGTGGCTTCGGATAAAATTATTTCAGTAATGCTACCTTATATTCAGAGGGAACAGGGAGAGGATGGAAGGGAAGAGAGGAGGGAGCCCAGAGCTATTCCATAGACAGGAAGCAAACACAAATTACAAGTCACGGGTATTCCAGGAAACCATCACTTAATTCCAAATTTGCTCTCAATGACTTCCCTCTTTATTTATCACCTATACAGATGCACAGATTAAGAAAATGAGACAGAGAGACAACAAAGGAACAGAGAGAGAGACTTCCCTTCCCCTAGTTCACAACCCACATGCCCGATATAGCCAGGACAAGGCCAGGCCAAAGCCAGGAGAAAAATTCAAGCTAAGTATCCCATTGGGTAGTGGAAACTCCATTACTTGAGCTACCATTGGTTGCCTGCCCTGGTCTGCATGAATAGGAAGCTGGAATCATGAGCTGGTGCAAGGAATCAAGCTCAGGTACTCCAATGTAGGACATGGGTATCTTAACTCATGTATGAACTGCTAGGCCAAACACCACTCTCTCACCCATCATCCTTCACTACAAAGAGGCGAGCAGATTTGTGCAACCATCCTTTGTATGGTTGGAACTGCTCATTCCAATCCATAGGCTTAAGAGGACAAAATAATTCCTTGGCAATAGAGGCACATCCAGAGGCCAAGGCCACTTGACCAAAAGACCAGGTTTGCCACAGAGATACACATAGGGAGCTAGGTCTCCCTAAGATTTCTTTGAAGGTAAGAAATGAATCCATGGGACAAGACTGGTCAGTTCTGTCAAAAGGGATTCATCAGCGTTCAAAGGGATTGGATTCAACTCCTCGTTTTGCAGACAAGGAAAACTGAGACACAATGACTTAGTCCCAGGGATAAGTACAGCCCAGGCTTCCACCTTCGTCAGTGACATTACAGCAATCTCACTCAGAAAAACGTCAGACCACCAAACGAAACTTAGAACACTCGGGACTTCCCTGCCAACTTTCGGGCCTCCAAAGCAACTGATTAATGAATGTCTCCGTCAACACTCAGATGACATGTAAGAAGCCATTTTGATCATTTCAGAAACTCCAAGCATAGTAAGTGCCAGGTTTGGTATTAATTCTACAGAAAATGTCACTCAGTGAACAAAGACTCACTGTGCTTTGTGTACAACCTTCTTACTAAGCTTTCCATGGAAATGGAAAGTTGCCTGCCTTGGGGGAGCTTATGCAGGAGAGAATCTACATGCATACACACACAAGACAAACCCAAGCAGGATATTGCAAAGATGAATGGAGATCCAGGACCTCATGCCTAGGCCACGACAAGAATGAAGACAGAATTTCTGAGAAAGAGACTGGGGAAGATTGTGGAGTGTGTCTTGGTAAATTAGAAAGATTTTTAGTAGGAAGAAAAGCGGATACAAAAGGCACTCTAAAAAAGAAGTGTCTACACAAATCCGTTGAGAGATAGACACAAGAATCAAAGCTATCCATAGCCAGACCAGACCACAAGTTTCTCCAAGACACAACTGTTCATTGAATTGAAATGAAACTTCGTTATCCATAAAAGCTAGAAGATGCCAGCCATGAGCCAGTGGACTCTTCCCAAGGCAAGGTGACTGGCACCGGCTCTGTTAGTGACAATTAAAGGCCTTGCATCAAATCCCTTTTCCTCTCTGTATCTCCAGGTTTTGGTCCTCAGTTTTGAAAGTTTTGTGCTATTTGTGATAGGGATGCGGCTGGAAGTCTACCGCAAAAACGAGGGAATCCTAGGATTCAAGGCCTTAAAACAGAGAAGGGGCCACTCAGTCATCATTGTGACCATGTGCAAAATACCTGCTTTGGGGACAATGTCACCCCAAATTTGAAGTAAACATTTCAGAAGTCCCTCCCAGACCTGTAACCCCAGTCAGAGGGCTCCAGGGATCCATTTTGCCCTGTCTTCCCATTCTTACTAGCCACATAAATATGTGGACTACATTGGTCAAAACCACTCAATGAGAGCCATGCCCTCGAAGTCAACTAAAACGATGGACATCTGCCAACAACACCACGCTCACCTCTCGGTCTCACGGACTTGGGAGCAAAACTACTGCTGGGCTGAGCAGACCCACAGCTAACACTCACGCTACCAGCTCGGTGGGGAAGTCATATGGGTGGACATGTTTCCAACCAGAGCCATCTGCAAGAGGATTGGATGACGTCCAAATGTTGGCTCCACACTACAAAACTTAAGCTTTTGCTTAAGGGGGTAGACCTGCCCTGAGGACTCCACCCGAGAACTGTCATGCCCATAATGCAATATTAATGCCAAGACTATTAATTCCTACTTTACATAAAAGCTTCATTGTGTGCCACATTCAATCTCCATAGGCTACCTGCACCACATATTTTTACGGGCCTACATTTCAGCGCTCCAAGCCTACAATACACATAATTTTCAATTATGTTAGGGCAGCCCAGGATCACTGCCTATATAACATTACTGGTCGGAGGAAATGAGACTCGGCCCCACTGCCCAGAGAGCTCTAACCGAATCCAGATGGCGCAGGGAGACAGCCCCAGTCTCGCCGGCTCACAAGGACCCTGCACTGACAGCCCAAACTCTCCTTAGACTGTGCAACATGATGCCACAGGTCAGCTGGGCACCCGCAGACCCGGGCCTGGCCTAGGACTCTTAACTGGCATTTCTGGCTCACAAGGCTCCTTTTGGAGAAACAAGCACCACGTCAAGACCGCTTAAAGGAAGCGATTAACCTTCTCGAAAAGTGATGGGTTTCCCAGCTTCCTCCATCGACAATTGGTCCTCATTAATGGGGGAAAATAAATAAATAAAGGGAAGAGAAAGGAAATTAGCTACTATTACAGCCCAGAGGAAAATCTTTTCCTTCCTGGAGACATTAAACAGCAGGAAATTCTCCTCTGTTGGGTCCTTGAGGAAGACCTGAAGGGGGCGGCGGCTCAGGTGGACAGAAGGGCTGGCGTATGCCACTCCATTTCCCAGCAGTGCAAACTCGCATGTCTATCCCTGTGAGGAAGGAGGGTGGGGGCGGGGGAGTTCCCACCAGCCCTCTGAGAAAACACAGGACTACAGCTCTCTTCCTCTCGGGCTACTCAACGTGGAAATTATGAATTGCCTAGAAAAATACTCAACTTTTCAACAAACTGCAATCGAAGCAGGCTGTGGGAATTCCTGCACTGGAAACTGCTGAAATGAAGTCAACTCAACTTGTGTTTCATTTGAGGCAAAAAAAAAAAAAAAGGCCAGGCCACTGTGGCAGGAGCATTTATTTCATCCTTCGGGTACAACTGCGTTCTGATCACAGCATGCTAAGGTTTCTCTTCCCCTCATATTTTTATGCTATGTCCCAGGAAGCTTAAGTTAAGCTCTGGACCTATGGGCAAAACCTCAAAATGAATGTGACACTTGTGGCCCAGAAGAATCCCAAACAAGCTGCCAGACCTAATGAAACTGTCAGCGAAGAGGAAGAGCGGAGCGTTGCTCATTTCTTCTCTTCTGCCTCCCCCAATCACAAGGGAGAAGTGGAGGCCAAGGGTTAGTGAGGACTTTGCACATCCGGGCTCCTGCAGGACACTGTTGGGCAGCAGGCGGCACCTCCTGCGGTGAGCCTGATCCCTCCAAGGCCACCTTCACACCTGCCGAGCTGTCACTGGCAAAACCCACCAGGGATGAAGATGAGGATGGGATGCCAAAGAGGCCAGGAAACTTCAGTTTTTCCTGATTGAACACCTGCACAGTATCTAGTGCCTCCTTTCATTCACGCAGTCACAGATGGGCAGGTATGTGCGGGGGAGGGGGTTTCTTTGTCATTTATCTGCTCAGGGTGAGATTGGCACACTTCTCCTGGGAGGTACAAGTTGAGCAAAGTGTTCCAGACTTTCTCCTCTTCACCCCAGACGCCTGCCACTGTGAACCCAGTGGGACCTGGCGATGAAGCTGAAATCTCAGTTTCACACAACTCTGTGTCCAGAAGCAGTTGTCATCTTGTCTGATTTTTATTTTCCAACTTTCTAAAAAGCAGTACCATTCATGCCCCTAGCTCCATGAGACACCCAGAACAGGTGGGAAACTTGTGTGGGCACATGGGTAACAGCCCGTAAAAGCTCAAGGGCTGGGATGTCCAAACAGCCAAACATGAACACGCTCATGAGGCAAGGTGTGGCATCCCAAAGATGGATCTCTTATCCCAACTCGATCACTGTGAACTGCACGGTCACTGGCGGACTCAAGCGCTGAGGGCGGTGGGGGTGGGCTGGGAAAGAATCCAGCCCTCTGGTGGAGACATCCAGTCACAAGGTCCAACCACCAGGACCACAATCTCACAGAAATAACTACCCCTCCTTTCTAAAATGGAAGTTTCCGAAATCCTTGAGCCATTCTGACTGGAAAAGGCCCACGTGGTCCAAAGGTGGCGGTGGTGATGCAGCCTACATCGCCAGATGCCCACAAGGGGATCCCAGGTCCCCCTTCCAGAAGTCCAAGGAGAAGTGTTCCAGTGTTCTGGGGCCAGACACTCCTCTCCCCAGAGCTTTCCCAA